CATTGATAAGAATGTTGTTTATTGGTTCAGTGGTGAGGATTTTTTGTTTTTTTTTACATTGAGATGTAATGCATATTGATCTTCATCAGTAAATGTTTTAAATCCTCTTCACTTTCAGCAAGCAAGGTTGAATCAACCGCGTATTGCAGGTTGTTAATGAGTCTTCCTCCAGTCCTGATGCCACATTTTTCTTCATATAACCCAGCTTCTCAGATTATTTGCTCAGCATACAGGTTGAATAAGCATGGTGAAAGAATACAACTTTGTCGCACACCTTTCTTAATTTTATATATCTATCAAAATTCACCCGTGTACACTTTCAGTAGGGACACTTCACTGTGCAGACACTATACTTCAGTAAACTGATTAAAAATTCTCCCCTTCATCCTCATTAGCAGAACCCCAACTTTGTTTGACATGACAATATGTTTACCTTCAGTCAGGGTGGTTATATGACATGGTCTGGTCTGGCCTGTGGAATGTAAGTGGAAGTTCCTTGCTGGGTGTGAATTGTGTCCCCCTAAAATATGTGTTATCAATCCTAATCTCTGTGCCTGTGTTTATAATCCACTGGGAATGGATTGTCTTTGTTATGTCAATGAGACAGGATTATTATAGAGTGTATGTTGAGTCAATCTCTTATAAAATATAAAAGGGGCAGATTAAGCAAGCTGAGATTGGGAGAGAGTATATGCCAAGCCAAATGGAGATTTGCACAGAACCAGGAAATAGCATTGAAAGAGACAAGGATCTTCCTCCAGAACTAACAGAGAGAGAAAGTCCTCCCTGGATCTGTACCCTAAATTCGGACTTCAAGCCTCCTGGAAACTAAACTTCTGTTTGTTAAAGCCACTCACTTGTGATATTTCTGTTGCAACAGACACTGTACAGGCATCCAGGAAAGCACTTAAAAGGTAGTTAAATCAAGTAAGGCACAACTTTTTTCCTTCCCCTTTTCTTGCCTGTAATAAAGAAATTGCCATCCTGGGACCACGAAAAGAAAAGCACGAAAAACAAAAGTCATACATTAAGGATGGAAAAATAAAAGGAGCCTAAGTTTAAATAAAATATCATTGTGGAGTTATGCCAAGAAGTAAAAAATAAGCTCCTCACTCATTTAAGGCACGATGGAAGAGTTTTTTGCTATTTACAATCAAGTATAATTCCAACAGATACAGACTTTCTGTGCTCACAGACTAAGCCTAATGTTCAAATCTCGGGCCTGTTTTGCTGAGCTTCTGGACCATGCTCAGTTTTAGAATCCTAATTTGTTCTGGGAAGCCCCTGGGACCTAAGTGCCAGTTTCTTTTCTTTTTCTTTCCCTCCCAGTTTCTTTTTGCAACTCAGTCACTAACTAGTTATCATACCCGGTGGTCTGTTTTCTCATGTCTTCCTCAAATTCAGATTACAGGCCTTTTGTCCAGTCACTGTGACTCTCCACGCTGTTTGAAACCTGACAGACTCTCTTTTCCTACTTTTGAGTTATTTTTTTCCAGTCAGCTGATTCTGACTCAGGAATTTTCATCGTTTTCCAACATGGAAACATTAGCATTCCCTCCACCCTCCCAACCCCCTGAGTAGAAATCTTGACTCTTTTTATTGGCATTTTCCACCACTCACTCGACTCTTTTATCTGTGCCTTTTCATCACAGTTTTTATCTAAGTTATAGTAAGTGTGGTAGATTTCTCTATCTCCTTTTTCCCACAACATGTGTTGGAATCCTAACCCTTCCGCCTATGGATGTTTAGGAATAAAATTTTTTTTGTGATGATAATAAGGTTGTATCAGTATAAAATGTGTTATAAACCTAATCACTTCTGAGATATAAAAAAGAGATTGGACACAGAGGCAGGCACAAAGAGGCGGGAAAGGTAGAGGGGGAGATAGACACCATATGAAGACTGAAAAGGAACCAAGGAATGCTGGGAGACAAGGATCTTCCCTCAGAAATGACAGACAGCCTCCCCAAAGCTGCCACCCTGAGATTGACATTCTAGGCTCTCAACTGAAAGAGAAGACATTTCTATTCTTGAAAGCATCTACTTGCAGTATTTCTGTTATTGCAGCACTAGGAAACTAACACACTAAGTATTTGTGTGATCCTAAAGTAATGCCTGTCTCCATAACTAAGTTTTAAGCTTCCCAAGGGTAGGGACCATGACTATTTTGTTCATATCTTTATTCCTATTACATGTAGGTGGCATGTTGTACTCCCCGAATGTTCAATGAGAAAATACATGAGCAAAACTTCCAGACTCTCTACAGGTGGCAAATAGATTCCTCATTCACTAGTTCAGATTAATAGCCTTATTTCTGCTACAATCATAACACCGAAAGTTATAAAACTATGAAGGTCAGGTCCACTAAAATATATATTCTAACTAATTTCAAATGGATCATCCCAAGTAGTCAATAACCTTTTCTTTTTTTTTTTGGAAACTTCTTGTGGTGGATTGAATGAAGGTTTACAGAGATCATCAGTTTTACATTCAACTCAACAATCATTGTTTTATATCATGTTAATTTTCTGACACTTTCCTCATATCATCTGCCATAACTCCACACTAAGCAGGACAGTTTATCTCATGTTTTGTTGAGAAGATAGATAATGGTCAACTAATTTGCTTTCTCTCATTTATTTTCTCTTATTCTCAAGGGATACTTCCTAATCTCTACCTTCAACATCAAAGTCATAGCTGTGCTGTTTTCTCCATATACTCTGGGGTCTTGCTTTGTTAAATCACCTCTGTCTGTATAAAACCAAATCCACTGGTATGGAGTCAATTCTGACTCATAACAAGCCTCTAAGACACAGACGAACTGTCCCTTAGGGTTCCAAGGTGGTAATATTTATAGAAGCAGGCTGCCACATCATTCTGTTGAGAAGCAGCTAGTGGGTTTGAAATACCGACCTTTTAGTTAGCAGCCAAGTACTTAACCACTGAACCACAAGGGTGCCTTCCCTGGAATAGATCAGTGAACAAATTCTATAGACGTAATATTCTAGTGGAAACAGACAGGCAATAAACAAATGTATCATCATAAAATTCACTAGTAACAGAGAGAAATAAAGCAGGGTACAAGCAAAAGAATTAAGATGTGCTTGCCAATTTTAAGTGGGTGGTCAGAAGAGGCTTTACTGAGAAGGTAAGTAACATTTAAGAACAACCCTGAAGGAAGTGAGTGAACAGTTTTTATGGGTATCCTAGGAAGAGTTTCCAAGACACAGAGCACAGCAACTGAAAACCCCCAAAGTAAGACTTGCTTGGCCAGCTTTTTAACAGAGAGGAGGCCAGCGTGGCTAGGACGGAGTTGAGATCAGGGAAGGAATGAAAGCCAGGTAGTGTGGCACCCTGTAATCTATTTTTAGGACATTGGCTTTTATCCTAAGTGAACTAGAGAACCATTTGAGGATTATAAAAAAGTAAATGCCATGACCTACTCTATATGGAAGTAGAGAAACCAGTGAAAATTCTTCCATGCAAGTTGCAGGGTGAAATAATAGTTAATTAATAAGATGACTGAAAAATACCATTTGAATTTAGAAACAGTGGCCTCATCAAGACGAGTTTTGGTGAAGTTGAGGGCAAGGAAATGTGATTAGTGTGTGATTGAAAACAAGGAATTGAAGGCCAGGAATTAAACCACTTGCATCACCAGGAATCCTCTGTATATAAACAACTGAAGAGCTTTGCAGTAGAGCAAAGAAATGTGGTGGGAAGGAGGAAGTGGTTATTTTTGTTTAGTTTTCGTTTCAGACTGCAGATGTTGATATGTATATTTATGGAAGGCATCTAAAACATTCTTCACTGGGTTTTGATGGAGGCAGTAAGCTCCCAGTTACTCTCATCTTTGAAGCTTCTTCCGTTCTTACCAAATACACTGCCTAAACGATGCATCTTACTGAATCGTAACTCATATCCTTTCACTACCTGCTAAAAAATCATCAGGGTTCTCATTTGTTATAGGAAAAGTTCAAGTTCATTAGCTTAGCATTCAAATCTCTTCTTTGGCCTTTTGCTGCTTCATCACTTTCTTGGGTCAAACCTATCCCACCGCCGCTGGATTGATTCTGGCTCACAGTGACCCTATAAAGCAGAGTGGAAGAACAGCTCTGTAGGGTTTGCAAGGCAGGCAATCTCTACGGAAGCCGACCAACTCATCCTCTCCCGCTGGTGACCTTGTGGTTAACAGTCCAGTGCTTAACCTTGTTTGTACACCCTATAGTAAGGTACACAATCTGCCAGATGAGAATAAAGCCATGGTTCCGTAAAAAAACTGCTAAGTGACCTTAATCAAGTTACGTAAGTGCACCAGGCCTCGGTTCCTTCCTCTTTGTGAAGGAGGCGTGTCATCTTTAACAAGCTGCACTTCTCAGCATCTTAGTGGACACAGCAGGATACTCTCTTCAGCCCCCTTTAGTCTTTCCACATCTATGGACCAGGTGATTCGTTCGGTCACTTATTTCTTCTGCTTCGCTTTTGTCTGTCCAAAAAGACCACAGCATCAGCTCTTGTAAGATCGGCCTTTGAACACCAGCTCACCATCAGGACCTACCTCCCACTCTTCCTTTCACTAGGGACCGACTCCTTCACAGTCAGAATCCGCCACGTATTAAGTGCCGTTTCCAACCAATCAAGAAAAAGTTATCTCAGGCCTTTTAGAGTCATCCGGTTCCACCAATGTTCTCGCAGGTTTTCCCTAGCGCCTTGTTCTGAGGGGTGAGACCAACCACCGCAATGACCAATCGGTTTCGGATGAAGGTATTCCGGGACTGCCGAGTTCTCCAATACCGTAAGGAGGCTGAGGGGAGGGGCATTTCTCATTGGGTTACCATGTCCGGAAGAGGGCTAGGCCATGGGCGACGAAAATACGATTTGATTGGACTGCGTGTTGACGGCGCTCGGAGAAAGCCCAGCTTCCCCAATTGGGCAGCCTGAGTCTTCGGAGTGGCGGTGGCCCCAGCCAATCGGAGGGTAGACTCACTGCAAGTTTGTTCAATGGGCAATGTCTGAGGGAAGCTGTCAGTCAGGTGGCAGTGGAGAAGGCCGGGCTAAGACGTGGCCGGGGGAAGGCGGCTGGCTGTCCAGGCCGTCAGGGCAGCGGTGGGGTCCCTAGCGCGTTCTCGTCTGCGTAGGGGGCTCCGAGTTGCTGAAGAGGCGGGCGCCAGCGGCCGCGCATCCATGCCCACGCGCGGGGCGGGCAGCTGATGGAGCGCGCCACCTGCCTGGGGCCGCTCACGCGGGCACTGCTGCTGCTGTGGTTCGCCTCAGGGCTGGTGGCTGCGGGGCGCGTCCGCGACCTCCCCGCGCCGTCGACAAACGCCGCGTTCGGCCTGGGGGCCGCGGCCGCCCCCACCTCGGCCGCCCAGGTGCCAGTGGCGGGGGCTGTGACTGTTTCGGAGGTGACGGTGGAAGATGCCGACGCGCTGCCAGCGACCGCGGGCGAACCGGAGCCGCGGGAGTCCGAACCCGAGGACGAGGCGGTGCTGCGGCCCCGCAGCAGGTGAGAGGGGGCGCCCCCGGGAGACTCCTTGTTTACGCGCGCGAGCCGAGGGGTCTTGGAGACCCAGACCTGGGACCCGCGTCCTTCCTCGCCTACGGTTGGTCCCTCGTCGGCGGAGGACAGATCGTGCCCTGGAAGTGGGCAGTGGCACCTGAGTGTTTGGTCACGACCACTTCCAACTCTCCCCGACCAGCGACTTGCCCGGGCTTGGCTTTTGAGCACCCGGCCCTAGTTCGCGGGCGGGAGCTGCTGCTTCATAGTCGGGTGATGCTAGGAGAATGGAGCGCAGGGGTTGGACAGGAAAACGCCACTTTATTTCTGTCATTGTTTATGGGCTTTACTCATTGTCCAAGGAACTTTTCCCGCTCACTGTTCTTTTACGGGAGTCGCCCCGTCAGTACTGTTTTGACAGCTGTTTTGGGAGTGGACTTTCGAGGGACATTTCCCTTTAAATATAACACTGTAGTGCCCCCAGATGAGTACTAAGGTCAGTGTTTGTCTAATTGAGATCTCAGGAACACCTGAATCCGAATCCGAATCACCTGGGGTTGCTGGTTAAATGTCGATTTCTGGGCCCCACCCCAGTTTGATTGAACCAGACTGTGTTGTTGTTGTGTGCCGTGGATTCGCTTCTGATCTTAGTGACCCTATACAGCGTTTCCAAGAGTGGCTGGTGGGTTTCAACTGCAAATATCATGGTTACCTGTCCATTGCTTATCCTACAGTGTCATATCGGAACTTTGTACAGGAACCTCGAATCTACATGCCTAACTAACACTCCAGACTTAAATCACACTCACACAGAAGTTTGAGAGCTATGGATAGGTTCTTGGGTACTGGCGTTCTTTGTTATTTAGAGGATTTACGACAAAAACAAATATTGAGGTGTCTCGGGGTAGGACCACCTACGCCTTACAAATATTGTTTCATAATACTAATTTAAAGCACTTTTTAAGTCCAGACACAAATGTAATACATTTTAATTGTAAAGTGGTTAGCTGACAGTTAATGTGTCCCTGTAGGGTAATGCATTGGACCATGAGGTCAGTGTGAACCACAAGGTTGGTGGTTCAAATTCATCAGCCACTTCTTGGAAACCGCATACAGCGTTTCTATGAGTTGAACTGACTTGAAGGCACTTAACAACAATAATCTTAAAATGGGGAATGCAGTGGTTCTATAGGATAAGCTCTGGACTTCCAACCATAAGGTTGGCGGTGTGAGCTCACCAACCACAGAATGTCAGAACCGACTCAGTGGAACTTAATAACAACAACAATCTTAAAACACCCAGGAAAAAAGTAATGTCCCATTTAATAAACGGAATGATACAAGAAACATTAGGTCATTTAAACCAGGGAGGGCTAACATTTAGATTAGGAAGTATTGTACATTTTGTTGTTGTGTGCCGTGGAGGTGGAGTCAGCTCCGACTCATAGCGACCCTGTACAGGGCTTCCGAGGCTGTAAATCTTTACAGGAGCAGAAAGCCTCATCTTTCTCCCACGGAACAGCTGGTAGTTTTGGACTGCTGACTGAGATTATCAGCCCGATTCATAACCACTACAGAGCATTTTGCATTTACAATGCAGTAATTACTAAAGTATAACAAATTAGATTAAATTTTTAATAAACTATCAGAAACTTGATCTGTATACCTGGAGATTAGAGTAAGTACTCTAGGCATCATTTGAGTATTTAAGTATAGTGTTAAACATTTAAGCAAATACTTAACTAAGTTTTCTTAGCTTCTGCTGATGAATCACCTGGGAAAGTGTTATTGTTTGTCTTAAAGAAACAGCTGGTGCGTTGTAAGGAAAAGAAAGAGACAGAGAGAGAGAGAGTCTTGGCTTCAACAGCAGGCAGTTTTATTGGGAGTAAACCTGGGAGGGGGTACTCTTTCGTCACCAAAGGAGACCAAGAGCCCGTCTGTTCCCTTACAGACTGGGGTATTTATAGGCCTGTGGTCTGGGTATAGTTCTGGCTAGTTTACAATGGGCGGGGGTTATGGAGATTTGGCCAGGGGTATGGAGATTTTCCTGAAACCTGGAATTTCCGGGGGGTAGGGTCTCCAGGTGTAACAAAGACCCAAGCTTCCCCGGGGTTCAGAAGCTCAAGCCAAGCCGGACCCCATTCATTGTCAATTGGGGTAGTTGCAATGCCATTCTGTTAATCAGGTGCAAAGTCCTTCACACGTCTTAAAGTGTATTAAGCAGAGTGAGATGCAGGGAGACCTGGTGGTGTAGTGTTTAAATACACTGGTGTGGCGCTGTGGTATCAGTACTGGACTGTTCAGACCCACCAGCTGCTCTGCGGAAACCCTATACAGGGTCACTATGAATTGGAACCAACTCAGTGGCACTTAACAACTAACCAAAAGGTCTGTGGTTTGAACCCACTAGTCACTCCTCGGGAGAAAGATGTGGCAGTCTGCCTTTTGAAGATTTACAGCTTTGGAAACCCTTTGGGCAGTGTAGTTCTATAGGTTAAGCTCTGGATTGCTAATGCAAGGTTGGCGGTTCAAACCACCCAGCCACTCCTTGGAAACTACACAGAGTCACTATGAGTTGGAACCAGCTTGAAGGCACTTAACAAAACCAACTCTGTTTTATAGAGCTGAGACGAGTCTGAATCAACTTGATAGCAGTGGGTATAGGTTTTGGGTTTTTAGCGTCGGATGGTTTGCTTTTCTTGGAATACAAATCCACTTCAACAAGTACTTATTGGCACTTACAACAACACAAGAAACCCGAAGGACACAGAGGCTAGGCAGAGAGTCCCTGCCTTCCAGGAACTTAATGTCTAGTAGTGGAGACAAAACCGCGAAATCCATAATAGCACTGCGTCCTGTGGTGGTGAAATAATTCACCCTCAACTGTGAACCTACATCTTGGTGTTTGGAACCCATCCAGTGGCATATTTGCTTCCTTAATAAAGATTGTTGTTGTTTAGTGCCATCTAGTCATTTCCTCCTCATAGCAATTCTGTGTAGTGTTTCCAAGGAGCAGCTGGTGGGTTTGAACTGCCGACCTTGTGATTAGCAGTCCAGTGCTGCTCCTATCCAGGAAAACCCTACAGAGCAGTTCTACTTTGAGCACAATGGGTTGCCAAGAGTTGGAATCATTTCAGTGGCAACTGGTTTGGTTTTGGATTTTGGAGTAATGGCCTTTATACCAAAACAAAGCAGAAACAGTGCAATTGAGTGTCCCCTGGTTTCTGTGGTATTCATGGGTGGTATGTGACAGTGACGTAGGTGGAAACATGAGAAACAGCTGTGGCAGAATGATGTGGTTCTTGAAAAGCAGGTAGAATTGTGATGGGATAGACACTAGACTAATGAGACAACAAGGAACACTGATGCTGGCAAGCATGTTTAGAGAAGAATTTCTTTTTATACATATGTGTGTGTGTAGTGTGGTCTGTGTGTACAGAAGAGATACATACATGTGCATGTGTGTTGGGCAGGGAGAAATAGACAGTGAGGGTAGTAAAATAGATTGGGGTCAATATTGTAGCTCCTGTGTGGTCACATGAGTAGCATCATCACCACTTAGGAACTTACTGTTTTTGCTAAGTGCTGTTGAGTCGGTTCCAGCTCATAGTGACCCTGTGTAGGGTTTCCAAGGAGTGGCTGGTGAATTTGAACTGCCAAGCTTGTGGTTCAAACCAGTCTTATGGTTGAGTGCTTATCCTACAGTGCCACACCAAAACCGTATAAGAAATCTAGAATCAGGCAGCATTCCAGACTCAGTAGGAATGTGCATTTTAACAGGATCACCAGGTGATTGGCATGCACATTATGTTTGAACAGTATTGTATAGAGGATCTTGAATTCCAGACGCTTCAGCTTTGCTTTAGGAATATTCTTTAGCACCAGTATGTACTAAAAACTAGAGCTAAGGATCTGAAACTGAGAACGTTGTAGCAATTCAAATGAGTATTTGATTTTATTATTAAGTGAATATAGAACCCAGGAGGCAGAATTGAGAAAGATTTGAGGCAGAAGAATTGTGATTCTTGCCAAATTTCTGCTTTCTTCTTCCTTGAGACTGGGTGGCCAGAGATGAGAGCATGCGTAAGAAAGTGGAGAGATATAGAGGTTTGTTGTTGACATGGTGGCTTGGACAGGACATTCAAATAAAGACATTTGGAAGGCAGGTGGAAATGAGTGGCTGGAGTTAGAGAGAGAGAGAACTAGAGAGTTAGAGGTAAAGAGAGAGCTTGAAAGAGAAGAGAGAAGAGGTTATGGTAAAAAGTTGAAGTTATGAGAAACTGGTGAGGAACATGAGCCAGCAATGGAAACAGGTTTGGCGATTCAGACCGAGGAGTTAGCAGAACGAAGGCTGTGGTGATGTGCAGTAGAGACAGTTCTCAGAATCCATCAGGTTATGGGCTCATCTCTTTCTGTCCCACTCCCACCGCCCTCCACTGCCAAATCTGATAGGAGGCAATTTTTCAGGGTTTGGGACCTCTGATTTTATTTATTGACCAAGAGGAGGAAGCCTGCATAAACAGGTTGTAAATGAAAGGATTGGATAAGCAGGTGAAGGTAGTCAGAGATCATCTAATTGGCAAGCAGATAGGGCACTTCTCTCTCAGAAACAAGAAGAATACAAGTAAACATTTTTGCCTGGTGGAGGCTGTGATCTCTGGCAGACCAAATTGGCAAGAAAGAGACAGGCTCTGCTTTTAGGGGTCTACCTCCGCGGGGGAAAGATGAGGTGTTATGCTCCCTTAAAGATTTACAGCCTCAGAAACCCTGTACAGGGTCCCTATTGAGTCGGTTCCGACTCCACGGCACATAACCACCACCACCTGATAGTATGAATGTGGAAAGTTTGAGAAACCCTGGATAAATAGATTGATAGAATCAACAGGAGATAAATATGCAAAGTTTATAAAACTTTTCCATGCGATCTTTAAAAATAAGAAAAGTAAGAAAAGGTAAAAAGACCAGAGAATATCAGTTCTAGAATAACAGATTAATATCCTGTGTGTTGC